TATCCCAAAATTGTCCTAGCTTGGAAGTGATTTGTAAGAGGCACAACTGGCTGACAAATTTGGCCTACTAACTTATTCATTATTTCATTCAAAGTATTCAGTTGTTTGACCATGTTATCATAATGTGCATTCCCATTCTGGGTAAATCTTTCCATATTATAAATATTTCGTAGATTTACCTGTTCAACGACATCTTGTGTGAGTTCTCCAAGTAATGCACGCATAGTTCGAGAACTTAACTCTGTCATTAGTTCGTAACGACTATGACTGCTCTAATTCTGTCCATCTGTTCGTGGAGAGCTATGATGTTCCTCATATTGCTCGATCACAGACTGGACTCTTCCCTGACTTGCTTCCTTATCAGATTTTTGAGGCATATTGTTTCACCTTTTGTATCTCCAACGCCAAACACCAAGGTCCCATCGGGCGTGCCAAATTATTTCGCGCGGGTAGTCGCTAACAATTAAAAAGGTGTCAGACGATTGTGTAAGGAACAAATCTCTTGAGACAAGTTCTCAAAAAGGGGTGTTTTATTGGCGATGACTTTACAATTGGAACTAAACAGAATGCCTCCAAGGGGCACAAGTACACGAGTACTGAAAAGAAATGTTTTAAGTCTAAACTAATAAATTGAAATTATATATTCTCTGTTTGAGAGTGTTTGATTCGGGATCCTCTGCTCTATGTCTTCTCTTCCTTTTATATTCCCTTGATAATTTCTTCGTAATCAACCGTTTAGAAATTGCTTGATTGCTTTATAACTACCCACTTCCTTTATGGTGGCTATCGGGTCGTGGAACTGCCGTCTCTAACTACTACCACTACTCTTTGTCGTTTAACCGTCTTCAACTGAACTCCTTGAATCGTGGTATGTGATAAGGTTACTTGATAACTGCTTCAATAACTGCACTTTTGGATAACCATAACATCTTATGTTTGCTAAGATCTTGGGCGATTTGAAGGTTTGGACGAGAACAGGGTCATAACTCTGAGTGACTGTAAGACACTTCATTCGCTCAGATCTTGGGCATCTTGTAAGGTTGGGCGATGATGTTATCGTTTTCGTGGGCTTCCACTGAATTCATTAGTAACTCTATTTGAGTCTTTATCCCGATTTTCTCAGTT